GGTTCCTTTGGCAATGTCTATCTGGGTATGGCCACACCGCTGACGCCCCAGAGCTTAAAATGCAATCTCACGTTGAACAGGGCGAGACGCTGAGACCGGCAACGAAGTCGCCATGAAACTCGAACATCACAGCGTGGCGCCGTCTCTACTCGAAGAAGAAGCACGAATCTATCAATCTCTAGCGCAAGAGGCCGGCTTTCCTCAGGTGTACTGGCACGGACAGCAAGACGACTTTATGGCTTTGGTCTTCGAATTGCTCGGGCCAAATTTGGAGGACTTATTCCGATATTGCGGCGACCAGTTCTCGTTGAAGACGACACTGATGCTTGCCGACCAACTCCTTCGTCGCTTCAAGACTCTTCATACTCACGATTACCTTCACCGGGACGTCAAGCCTGAAAACTTCATGCTGGGTATGGGCGAAGCGGGGAACATCATCTACATGACCGATTTAGGTCTTGCCATCTACCGCCATCCAGACCGGTGGAAGTCGAGCAGCCCCCCTCCCCGTCATGTGACAGCGCGTCCTCCTCAGCTGTTAGGCACATGCAGATATGCAAGCATCAACGGGCATTTAGGCATTGGTAAGAAATATGTCAATTGTGTTCAATTGTGTTCAAGCATTACGAGAAAAAAGTCCGCTGACTGTCCTGCAGCACAATCTCGGCGCGACGACTTGGAAGCTCTCGGATATATGCTAGTATATTTCATCCGTGGAAGACTTCCTTGGCAAGGTCTCAAAGCGAAGCGGGATGCCAAACACCTGCTGGTTTTGGAGAAAAAGCAGGCGACCAGTGCGAGCGATCTCTGTGCAGGTCTACCAACCGAATTTGAAGAGTACATGAATTATGTACGCAACTTGCGATACGAAGATCGGCCGGACTATCGGCACCTGCGGAAGATGTTCAACAAGCTATTTCGCCGACAAGGGTTCGAATACGATCACGTCTTTGACTGGACGATTGGGGAATTTCTGAGGCGGGAGCCTGACGCCCAAGAACCGTTCATGTCGAATGAAGTGCACGAGCGGCTAGGAGCAGACACCACCCAGCTGTCAGCTGATGGAGTCCAAGATGTGACTAAGGCAAGGCGTCGAAGGAGGAGATGATCATGGTCCCAACACGTATTTCTCTCGTATTCATTGGCCATGCTGGATGGCGGATCCTAGTCTTACAAGAACTGGACGTTGGCTGCTATCGATCATCGTGAGCCAACCATTTCACAGGAAACATGAACCCCAGCAGGCTAGAAAGTGTTACTGTAATGGTTGGATGGTTAGGTTGTGTAACTCCGTACATCGAGAGCCTTCACAGTTTGCGCCTTACTGGTCCATTAAATGCCTCACCGGTTGGGAGGCTGGTCAGAATCTACTCAACTGCTGTGGAACGACAGAACATCGACACTAATCTTAGCTGCTGGGCGAACCATCACCATTTTCCCCCGAGAGCGCAAGTGATTCAGTGGTTGGCATCCGTCGATCGACTAGGGACACTCAAACAGTTCTGCCTAAGAAAACTGGCATTAAATGCCTCACCGGTTGAGCTTTGTCGATCGTCTGTGCGATCACCGTTATGGCGACCGCTCCGAGGCAGCGGCGGACACGCAGATAGTAACAGTGCCAGAATTTCCCCTGAGTTTCGGCATCGGGAGACTCATCATGGACCATGTCAGCACCGCCAGAATGGGTTATCAAACGGGGAAGATATAATTTTCTCCCTTCCAACGCAGGTGCCTTTCTTGCAACAATCGTTGATGTGATGCACCCCTTCCTTGACCGGACCACATTCCTTGAGATGGTCCTTGAACGTTGACATGATGTAGTCGCGTCTAGCATGGTTCGGCCACCGCTGATTTTGCTCGCACCCAACGCAATGGAACCCCCATTCATCCCTCCCGTTTTGCCTGTTCAGCCAAGGCACCCGCATCATTGCCATGTAACGAAGCGGCTCCAAGGCGTGTCCGCTACACTCCCCGGTGCTCCAGGACACGGTCTCCGCTATGTGGGAGAAAATTTCATATCTATCGCTGCTGGTGTCTTCGTCCGTATCGTCAAGGGTGCTGATACTTTCGTTGTCAGTTTCATCACCCACGTCATTGGCATCCTCAATCTGTGCTGGGTCATGGCATAGAGAGAACTGTGCCATTCTCCTTTGTCGTTCTTCCCTCCTTGTCAGGACCTTCTCTTTATAAGCGTTCCGTTTCCTGATCTTAGTCACTTTCTGGGCAATCTTGTTGCGGACCTTCACTACCCTCTCTGCCGCCAATTGCTTCTCGCGTTTTTCGATTTCTTTCTCGAATTGTGCCCAGAGGTTGGAGTCTACGTTCGCCACGTACTCCTTCATGGCTTGAAGCGAGCCATGGCGAGCGACCCCTGCACGGTACGCAGACTGGCGGTCTATCAAAGACAGATAGCCCTGCCTGTTCCTGTAGAAGGATTCATTCTCGTAGTAGCCGGGGTAGCCTTGACAACGAGGCAAAGTGCGCAGGATTTCCGGAGTAAGGCCGTACGTTCTCAAAGCGTCAATCTCTCGTAGTGGCCAATATCGGTCTTGCTCCGTGAAGCACCGACAACAAACCCGCCGAAAAGTCAGAAGATAAATGTATCCGCCATAGTCGCCACAGTCCTCACACTTGCTGGTGCAGAGCTTTTCAAAGAGGACTTGAACGGTGATCATATGGCTTGTTTTAATGACGCGCAACCCGCGTAGGGTATCATGCGCTTGCGAGTTCATGACGTGAAATTCCGGATGCGCATTGACGATCTCGAAAGCTCGCCTATTCACTCTTTTGAACCAGTCAAGAGTAGATATGTCAAGTGACGAGATAATAGAATTCAGGAGCTCAATGGGGAGCCGATTGAGTGCTCCGAGACCTGCACCAGGAGGGTCGGTCTTTGCCCGATAAGTCACACGGATTTCGCGGTCTCCGATAATATACGGGATGTTTCGATCGAGGGTCCTGAAGCCCGAATCTGAAGGTCTCCAACCAAAGTAGGCTGAATCGGCGAGCTGCTGCCACTCCGCCTTCTGCGATGGTGTTAGTCTTATTGTGCTCGCTCCTGGGTCGAAATCGTCAGGTTGCGCGCAAAGCCAGAGATAGAGTGAATTCTTGTACGGCACCGACATCTTACAGTACTGTACCCTGTAAGGACGAGGTGAAAAGGGATGTTCAGCAGTATTTACGTGGATGGACCACAGAAGAGGGGTCTTCGCCATCGATGATTCCTGCGCAATGGTTGGCTCTCTAGGCGACCCTCCAGTTTCGCAAGCGGCAGGCATGAGGAAAATCGGGCAACGCCTGCCTAGACGTTGTCCATCATTGAGAGCCAATCGTCGCTTTTTCGAGGAGTGGGTGCAGGTGGATCCAGCTCTGGTTCAATGTGCTGGAATACCGAAAGGTCGAAGATGGCTGGAGCGGACCCTAGCACAGCCCCTGACGGAGAGCTACGGTGACGGGGCCAATTGGAGCAAGGTCTCCGAACACTACTTCATGCCAGCCAACGATTTGCCCAACGGATGCTTTCTGCTTCGTTGTCGTGTTTCACAAAATGGCTGGCTTCTCGATGATGGACCGGTTATACAAGAGGATTCAGATAGGGAATGATTGGTCCTTAATGCAGACGGCATCGGTTGGAAAATCATTGGCCGGTAGCAACCCAATTGAAAGCCAGAAGAGTTGGGTGATACGTAGAGAGTACTTTGTACTGTAATGCCACTCGACAAAGAGGCGCCAGGTGCAGGTCCAAACCGCAAGCGCAAGTCCTCGAGCGACACGAGAGCTCTCCAGTGGATGCCACCTCAGTCCTTCGCCAGCGCATCTACGTCTCCTGGGGAGCAATCGCTATTTCAGTATCTGTACGGAGTAGATACCCGTCGGTCTACATGACAGGTCTCGCGATGATTCATGGAAAACTGCCCTGGCAAGGTCTCAAGTCGAAACTTGATGCCAAAACGCGCGGTTTCATGCTTCTGGGCGCTAAAAATGATTCGTTGGTCTGGAAGGTTTCCCAAAATTGATTTTATTGTCTGAAGGCCGTGTCCTGGGGCCTGCATGGGGTGACTAGGCGGCCTGAAGATTAAACACACCGTGGAGATCGATCTCGACGGAAGACCAAGACAAGAGTTCCAGATATAGCCATCGGCGGGAGACATCATCGAGTACTTCAAGTCACGTGATCTGTGTACATTCTGGTGCAAGCTGCATCAACCGAAAGCTGTTGCAAAAGACAATCTCAAAATACATACACTTGCCCCTGTCAAGACACCCGGGAACGTCCTCGACATTGGTACTGGCACAGGGAACTGGAGAATGAAGAAAGGCTCGGTTCGGGATACACCTTCATCGAGGAGGACCCCTCCGCTTTGAAACGCCTTGCGGTTTCGATGGATGCCTGCCTTTGAGGCGCTCACTACTCTTCGTTGTTGCTCGCTTCATATTCTGTTCCTTTTGTCGCTTCACTTGTAACAGCTCGTGCGCCTCTCGACCCATGAACCTTGCAGTTTTAGATAGTGCGTCACAATCCTGTAGGCCTTTTACTCTTTCTGCGATTCGAGCGCTGCGACGGGTGGGTTTGAGTGTTGATATACTTGGGCATGACCGTAGCCGCGACTTCCTCTTGTCGTCATGATCTCCTTGCTGAGCTGAAGCAACCACCGGCACGGGTGATTCGTGAAGTGGTGTTGCGATCGTTGCACGTAAGCTGGAAGGGCCCACTCTAGCTTTCGAGGCTTTTGAGACCTTCGATGGAGCTTTTGGACTAAGAACAGATCGTCTTTGCTTATGTTTTCTTCGTCGGAGCTGAGGCCGCTCTTTCTGCCTCTGCGGATCTTCTTTTCCTCTGATGGCATGGAAAGCGGCATCCAGGGTATCATTGGTGAACAACCCGCATTCGGCTGCGATGGCTGGATGCTGGTCGTCGATCCACTTCAGGAATACTTTCCATCTCTTCACATCGAGCTCCGCTGCTCTCAACTTACCCTTTGCTATGACCATGACCTTGTCGGCTATGTGCAGGTCATACCCATCACGGAGTCTTCTCATTTCCTCAGTACCGGATACTTGCTTTAAATTGTCCCTCGCAGAAGCGATTTCCTGGTGCGCCATCCTCATTAACGTTGCTTTTCTCTTTGACCTGATTTGTTTTGCTGCTCGTAACGCCTCCTCGGCTGACTCCACTCTAGATTGCGCTTTCGCCACTTCCTTCTGTGAGGCTCGAATTTCGCTGAATCGGCTATACAGAACCTGTGTATCAGTAACAACATCGATCAGTCGTGCTTTGGCATCTTCGAATTCCTTCTCCCTGACAAGTAGATTCGCATGTGCCGGCGCAACCCGTTTCTCACATGCTTTGAGCCTCCGATAGTAGACTGCCCGAAACTCATTCCAGTCTTCCAGTCGATTCTGTTGGTGTCGGTCCTCGAGCACTCGGAGGTCGTATTTCCATCCCGCGTCTGTTTGGCTCTCATGGACGGAGTCTTGATACTCTTGAAACCTGTTTTGTGGAATGTAATAACTCCGCTTCTTGTCCTGCATTTCTCGGAATCGCCTCCACTCCATGAGTTGAGTGAAAAATACTGTGTAATAGCCTCCCTTCCAGTGCCAAAACCAGATAACGTCCTTGTACTGTTCATAATTGTTGGGGTTGTCTATCACGTCATATCCGAGGGTCACAGGGTGGGACGGCCGGCCCCCTTCGGCTACCAAAGCATGATAGGCCTCCTCCTCTTCTTGCCAGCCCTCTTCTCTATCTCTCTCCCTGTCGATAGTCGATGTGGAGGGCGAGCGGTAACGCGTAAGAGGGGAGGCGGGTGATTCTCTCGTAGGAATGCGGCTTTGTTCGTGGTTTAGAGTTGAATCTTTCAGTCAAGACAGGAAGTCGCTCGTACCCTAATCGTGCCCCAAGTTCATCTGCATCCACCGCCCGCGACCGATCTTTTTCATCACGCTGGTGGCGCTCATTGACAATTTTCCTACAATAAATGAGCCCTTGTCAATACCAGCATATAATACCGCAAACATAAGAAGAAGGGGTTATCACCGGAAATGTGCCGTATGTTCCTCAGTCCAGTTCTCTGGGTCTTTAAGGTCGAAAAGATCCTCATCTCCAATATCGTCGACATTTAGACGTAGGAGTTCGTCCGCATATACTGTAATTGTCATGATGAAGGAGAATACAAGTCGGTGGGATGGATCAGTATTGAGAGAAAACCATCGAGGGGTGGGTTGCAGGTTGATGTAGCTGCAGCCACGTGACCGCAGTTTCAAGATGTGTGCTGAGCGGGGAAGTGATAGGGTCTTAGCTATTCTGGAAAGCGCGCACTAAATATTAGCGCCGGCGCCAACCTACGGCATCGTCGATCTGGGGCCGTCAAGCATAATCCACGAGAGGCAGCCAGAATGTATAAGCGTAAGAAGTAACGCCGCGCCTGAGTGTAGTTCCTCTTCGTCCCCTACGACGAGACAGAATGGATGACTTGAACATATTCTTGACTCTAATTCCTTTTGATGAATGGGGATTGACGATCGATTCATTCCGCTTACCACACAACGCAGGCCGATATGTGAAGCCGTCTCCTATCAGCCGTGGAACCACTCCAAGCGAATACGGCGAAGACGAAACTCCAGCGAACGAACTTGATTATTTTCACCGTATCCAATTGAGATTTGACCAGGAGACCAAAGTAAAGGGTCGTGTCATTTTCGGAAGTGATCCTGACCAATGTGATGTCCTTCTCGAATCGACCAGACCACGATTTTACATCTCTTTCGACAGCGAACAACGGCCCGCAATCTGGGATCATTCTAACAACGGTCTCACTGTCAGCTATGACGGTGAGGCAAAAGACGAACTTCGCCATCACTTCAAATGGATCTTCTTTCCCGGGTATGAAACAATCAGAGTGACAATACCGCTACGAAAAGGCCGAGAGCTGGGCTTTAACGTTCATCTCCCTCGGCATTACGAGACACGTCCTAATGAATACAACGACAATGTCGAGAGATTTATGGACGGTGCTCCTCCGTCGCACGAAGTAGATTTCTATAATCTAGCCCTCCGCAGTCCAGGTGATTCGTTCGCGCCGAGTGAATCGCTCAGTCCAAGCAAACGGCCAATTTACTTGAAGCGTGAAGAACTGGGCCACGGTGCTTACGGACGAGTCAGAAGAGTCCTGAACGCTACCACCGGATTGGAATGCGCTGGAAAGGAGTTTTTCTATCCGTTAGGCTGGCAGCGTGAGATTGAAATCATGAAAACGCTTCGACACGTATGATAAGATCCTTCCCGATTATTGATTATTGCTTTTACTGACTCTCTCGAAAGGACCACACAGTTAAACTTCTCGACTTCAAGGCGGATCCAGAAGCACTTATGGTGATGGAATATCTGCGGCTAGGAAATCTACAACAGCAACACTCGATCAGCCCGATTGCAGTGGAAGAATGGTCAGCCCTTCTACACCAGTGCTTGAGAGCTCTTGTATATCTCCACGCCAGAAACATAACGCATCGGGACTTAAAGCCTGAGAACATCCTCGTACAGTCCAGGACACCGTTCTGGGTTCGAATCGGCGACTTTGGTCTGGCCAAAGAAGATATTGAGTTGAGAACACGGTGCGGGAATTATCGATATTCACCCCCTGAAATTTATTCAAATCGGTCTTATACAAGCGCAGTCGATATCTGGCAGTTAGGTGTGATTGTCATGGAAGGTCTCTATGGGCTCCCTCACGATACACGACGAAAAGAGGTGAAAGAGCGCGGCAAAATTCAACAGCAAGCTTTCACCTGGTGCTCCCGTATCATCGTCGCAGCAGAGGACTGGGAGTCGGATCCCATGATCGACTTCTTGAAGGGATACATGCTCAAAAGGGAGCCTTCAGACCGCCAGTCAGCGGCAGAGTGTTTGAGAATAGCGCTGGACATCGGCCTGTTCGATGAGACTCTCCTGCGGACAGGAAGCCTCACACCACGACAAGAACCAACCCAAATACCTGATGACATTGATGCAGAAGATGCGTCGACCATCAAGGAGCCCTTCGGAAAGATTAGTGGCACTGCAGCGAGCCACGAGGGGCACACATCGCAACCCGAGAATGGCTCAACTAGCCCGGGAGAAAGACACAGCGACCGATCTGTGAAACGCAGACGGACCACCAACGATTTCGATCCCAGCCTCAATTTTCCAGGCTGGTCGTTTGATCTAGGGGACGTTTGCCAGATCACACCTGACGAGAGCTTGAAGGCATTATTGGACAGCCCATACAATGGTGCAAAACAGGCCGAATCAATCCAGGGCTCCATTCAAAGCGATAGTTCTGACAACCCTCCTATCGCACCACCTCTGAAAAAGCATGGGCAGTTTGTTGTACAGATCTTGGGCATGCATCGGGGCACTTTACGTATACCAGATGCTCGACTCAACTTTACCAGGGATACGTCCGCGACAGGTCCTTGGATAGACCTTCCGACAGCACGCGAGTTATGTGCTACTACCAATCTTAGCGAAAACTTTCGACCGCTCTTAGCTTTTGGAGAAGCTCAAGAAGCTCAAAGAGCGCAAGAAACCCCTATCTTATCTAAACCGCTCCAGATGGAACAGCGAGAGATAATCCCGAGCTATACAGAGCTTATCTTTGAAGGCCATACAATTCTAATCCGGGATCGGGATTTATGGATAAACGCAAGCCAAATTTTTCGAGCAGCAGGTTTTGATGAACCCCCATTTAGTTGGCAGAATCAGAAGTTCAACTATCACTTGGTGGATTCATTGGGCGTGTTCGTCGAGTCCGATGTCGCCATTAATTTGTGTAACCTTTATTCACTTCAAGCCCTTGGCGCAGTCTTGCACGAAAAAACGCAAGTGATACATACTCGACAGGGCCAACGCTTTCGTCTTCTCGAATGCGATCATGATATAGTGGCAGTCAGACAGGGAGACTTAAGTATCAACCTTACCCATATTGTGAGAGCATCACCAGCACATCCCTCTCATAGGAAAACCTTGGAGCAATTCAAGCGGAGATTCCCTTCTATCGAGATTATCAGGGGTGATGCAAAGATTTCAGGATCTTATGCACACATTTCTTTGGCGGTAAATCTCTCTTGCCTGTGTGGCTTGCACGCAATCACTACGAGACTTCTTAAACTGGCTTATACTCCGGACGCACCAGTTGAAGAAGTTTGCGGCGACGATGTACTATGTTCGGCCCAAGAACCTTCGAACGCAGCACAACCTGGGAACGTACCAAGAGATGTCCTGAGAGAAGATGGACCAGGCTTTGATTGCGCTGACGTTTTCGGTCCAGAGATGAACTTCTCTGCAATCGACCGGCAATTACAACTCTCCCGGCGGTCGTTCAGGTTTATGACGCCCTCGCCACTCTCACAGACGTCGCCACTCCGTATGAGTCGTTTGCAGGCCGTCGAAGGGATGAAAACGACATTGGAGTGGGACAACCAATTAGAGCTGCCATCTATTGTATTGCCATCTAACCATGCCTGTTTCAAACCGACTGAATCAAGAGAGCTGCCCGAACATGAATCAGGTGCAAGGCCATCGGGCTCAGGTCATGGAGTTAGGGGTCGGATTGTGCAGACTATGACGCAAAACGGGTTACAGGTCCTTCAAGGGCGACAGACACACGAGGATACTTGTGGTCGTCCGGCTGCCACTGAAACCCCTCGCATAAGACGCCGCAGAACAAGGTAGGAACGTATCTCGTTCACGTTGTTGATTTTACTTACAAAACTTGCTAGCATTGAAGATACCACAATTCTTCTAGAAGCTTATCAAAAATATCGATATCGTGGGGCGACTGAAGAGGAGCTTCAGGGTATCGCGGGGCAAACACAAATGACGATTGACCAAATTCGTGTAAGGCGCTCTCCTATGACGAGGAACAGAGACTAAAATAATGTAGAAGTGGCTCGAGAATCGAAGATACCGAGACCGATATATACCCCGGAATTGACGGGCACGATTGTCTTATCGCCATTGTGATAGTAATTCTTGATTTACCATTCGATTGTTGCAGCCGTCTCTCCATCACTTAGTTAAGACACTTCATGTGGGCCAATTGACGCGGGTGTATTCGTGACTATAACAATCTTCGGCGAGAATACGAGTAATAGACATCGTCGTCATTGTATGAATTCACTGCCTCCTTGTTCGTGGCTTGCATAGATATCCGCGTTGGCTTTCGTTGAATGGTCTGGAGTATTCTTTCTTCTCAGTCATGCGTGAATCGGAACATCCCCAAGAGAGATTTGGGAGAGACTGCTGGGTTTTTCCGGGTATCGAAGGCAGACTTTTCGTCGTCAGGAACGGGTGATCTATGATGTATACCAACTGGCTGATCGTCATCCAGTATATTAGGGTTGTCTAGGAGGATGTGTGAATACACATATAGCATACAGAGTACTGAATAAGCCCATTACTCTCGTGCATAATGCACAGACCCTCTTCCAGCCCCCGTTTTCTGCGTTGCTGCTTCCTCGCTGCCGTCCGCTGTAACTCCTTTGGGAGGGCGACGGCGAAGCAGAGTGGGACTCTTTGAAAGATGTTGTTTGCTGCTGGATTTAACTGAAGATGCCCCGAGTCCTCCTACTTCGTGCTCTTTCAGAAGGTGGTGTGTTATCGAGTACGTACGCCGGGATCGGATTTTTCTGCTGTGGCTCTACGTAAGTGACTAAGATGCCCTGTAGTCTCATGGGAGACCGCCCAACAGATGTCGCCAATTTAACCAATGTTGAAACTCAACCATAGTACAATACAAAGCTTGTTTCTGCTCCATAGCATTGGATAACGGGTAAGGGCGTGAATCCTCCTCACATTCGTCTATCAACTGTAGGCTATCCTACACAAAAATAATCGAGAGCCATCACCCAACCATTTCGCCGAAGCTGGGGTGAGAATGAAGCAAGGCTGCGATCTCATGAGGACATCTCCCACCGGATACTCGCTGGCAAAGAATGGGAGAGAAGGGCAGCTTCAGTAAATACCGGTCCTCTCCGTTGTTTGACATCTCCTAGACCAGGGGAATCATAGCTAGGATGGCGATATATATGATCAGCCTCAATGCCAAGGTGTCGAGAGCGTCTTTCGCGCATAAAAGATAGAGCAAGATGGCGCAGAGGTGAATCGTCAATGCTAGGGGGATAATTCGGAAGCAATTGGCTGGCCCTGCC